GGTCGGTTGTGTTGTGTTGTGTACTTTGTGTGTCGCTATTGTTCGTCCGTCGGTCTGTGTGTTGTGCGCTTGCCATGTACAGGGAAATGTCATGAAATGGTTGGGTACACTATGTCAAAACTACGGGCGTAGGCAATGAAGCTTCCGTTTTGACACAAATTGGGTGGCGAACTCGGCGCCCATAGCTCTGGCTCGAGTTTTTGCGATTATGTCGCGACGAAACGCATAAGCCGCCCCAGCGAGCAGAAGGAGGTCGAGGGCATCTGCTCGCCCATCAACATGCAGGCGATGTACTCGCAGGGCGCGGGCGACGACATGGGCGGCATGCCCGGCGGCATGCCCGGCGGCATGCCCGGCGGCATGCCCGGCGGCATGCCCGCCCGGCGGCATGCCCGGCGGCGGCGGCGGGCGGCCCGAACATCGAGGAGGTGGACTGAGCGGCGGCGCGCTCGCTGGCGCGGGCGAAATTATATAATTAGGGTTGTCAAACGCTAAGAGCTGAACTGTGAACAGTGTTGCTAGTGTTAACAACAGAACAACAGTGGGGCTCCCCAACAACAGTAGCTAACGTTAGGCCGGCTGAACAACAGTAAGGAAGGCCTGGCAGTGACCCACGACGATCTCTAGTGTCCAGTGCAGGTAATACCCGAAAATACCCGGAAAATCCCAGGTATTTTGGGGTTTTACCCGGGGTTTTGCCATTTTCTGCTTTGCTGGCCGCTGAACAACAGTAACAACAGTAACAAACAGTAACAGCATGGGCTGGGGTGAACACTTGAACAACGTTGAGGATTTCAGCCAACACTAGCGCAACTGTTAGGCCCCAAATTAATGGCAACCCTACGGGGTGTGGAGGGTGAGTTGACCAAGGGATTGTGCGCCGGGCCCTCCTGCTCGGCTCCAGCCGGTAGACAAGTCCTGTCATCAACAGAGTAGATGGATCTGACCTCGGGGCCGATGTGACCAAGCGCTGGTAGCGTGGTTTTACCTCACACCCATGGTCTCACAGTGTGCCGGCAGTCGCCGAGCAGTGTCGCTCACACAAGCCGCAGCACAAGTGACTGAGGGCCAGTGAGGGCGAGCCCATCGCTGTCACAGCTGTGGCAGCCGCACAGTAGGCTGTGTCAACTGTGCAGAGTGTGTGAGCAGCAGAGGAGCTGCTCTCCACGCTTCTGTCGCAAAGAGGTGCATGCCACCGAAGGCGCTGTCGAGGTTCGCCGAGCGCGGCGCAGGTTGAGGGAAGCCGCCACCGACGAGCGCGTTGGACTTTTCACTCCGGACAAAAAACGCGGCACAGCGGACGGTGCGGGGTGTGTCCCCGTCATAGCGGCGAGGCGCGGGGCCGTCTGTGGCGAAGTGGGTCGCGTCCCTCGATTTCCGTCAACCCAGCAAGAGCATCCACACCCTTTACGTATTACGAAATATACCCGCGATACAGCATACACATACCCGCTATACTAAAGTAAAGCCGTACGTGAAGGTGAACCCGGCCGCGGGGCGCAGCGCAGCTTGCATCTGCACTGCCACTGCGAGAGCTTGTCTGTGAGCACGCGCACTTGAGATCGTATCTCGTGTGTGACTGTTGTATTATCAAAAATCACCTCTTATCTGCTTTCAAAACAAAAGTGAAAAGACCGTCCCCAAACGCCAAAGCGGGGTCATCACGCGAGGAAGGCGAGGCGATTTATCGCGCGACGCTCGAGTCGCTGTTGGCGTCCACCGGGTGGACGCCGCGCGCCGCGGAGGAGAGGGCGCGCGAGGAGCAGCGTGCGCATGTTCGGCAGATGCGCTGGGCAAGGGAGCACGGCCGGGGGGAGCCGGTCCGGTGCTTTGACGCGGAGGAGTACGACGAAGGCGACGACGCTTTCGACGCGCTCTTCGACGGGGGCTCGGGGTACGGGTGGGATTCCCCCTCGGGGGGCGGCGCTTTCTTCTAGGCGCCCGCCTTGACCCAACATAGAGGGCGTTGTGTAGCCTAGCTTTTGGGTAATATAAAAAGCGGGGTCAAAGGAGCCCCCCGGCAACAGCCCGCAGAGCCACGAACAGGAACACAGAGACAGCCGCTCGCGAAGGGTGAGACGATCTCAGACCCACGCTCGACCTTCCTCGAGACTTGAGACACCACACGAGACACGAGAGACTGTGCTTCCCATCTCAGTGTGTGTCGACGTGTGCGTCTTGTTGTCTCTTACCGATACCGCAGCTGCTGCTACCCAGACTTCAGGGCGGACCACTTGTACCTGGACTGCGAGAAGAAGTTGACGTGCGTGAAGAGCAGCGGGTTGCGCCCTCGAAAGCTGCTGTTTGCACGGCCCCACTCGGCGACCTGCCGCCGATGCCACCGCAGAGTGTCGCCAGACCGACAGCAGCGGCTGCCCAACGCTGGGCAGCACTTGCCACCTGGCTTGCAGCACGGGTAGGCATGCTCGTGTACGCTGTTCGCATTCACCGCAAAGATAGCTCGCGCCGCCGCCGCTAAATCGAGCGTCGAGGACAGCGCGAGCTCGGCGCGCCGTGAACGCGGGACGCAAAGCAGGTTCCGACCGTCGTACCGGCGGCCGACGATCTCCTCAACCAAAAAGGCGTCGTAGCTTATCCAGTCGATGTACTGCAGTAGATTGGTTGTGTAATTCTGGTCCTGGTGGACGTGGACCTCCACGGTGAAGATCGGCTGGTCGCGTGCAATCGTTTCCACCGCACCGCGCAGCACGTCGAGCTCAGAGCCCTCAACGTCCCAATGAGCAAAGCCGAGCCGTTGACCGCGCCACGCACCTTGGAAGAGACCGTCCACCGTGTAAACGGAAAGCCCACCGAGGTCCGCACCGCGGACACCGCGCGTGGGTGAGTTGAGAAGGTGCAGGTTGTTGTACTGCTGCGATGCACTCTGTTTGCCGAGCGCGCTTCGGCTGATCGTCCCATCGACGCTGCCAAGGATGCCAACGCTGGGCTGCAGATTGCGCAAGCCGGCTTTGAGCACGTAGCGATTCCATATCCGGCGGACGTTCGCCTCCATTGGATCCATCGCAAAAACGGTACGATTGTCTCGGACGACGCTCGCATAGAAGCACGCCCATTCGCCCTGGTTGGCGCCCGCGTCTATCATCGCGCCGGTTGGCATGCGCCCTTCCTCAATGAGAGCCCCCACGATAGAATTGAGAATGACCTCCGTGCCTGGTGAATTGCAGGCACGCCGAGCGCTCATGGGAAGAGCAGCTGAGAGGAGGAGAGCTGTGGACAGGAGATAGGAGTGCCGCATCCTGAAAATCTACGCAGGTGCGGGTCACGGTTTTGCCGTGAAGAACAAAGGGATCTGTTGCCGTGATCCCCGGCAACGGCACGAACAGCAATATGCCGTACGTGCCTCATCCTATCCGTAGAGCCATTTGTTTGCAGGTGTGCCACAAAACGCGGTCCCACAAGAAGTTGGTACATAATACCCGGCCCTGAATGCGAGGCTGCCGATTGCACTCCCAGTGCTCCAAGTGAGCGGAGAGATCGTGATCGCTGAGCGAGATGTCGGACATCGGAGAGCGACCGTGCCTCGTTCGCGGCCGCCGGTCGCGGCTTATGATCACTAGCAAAAAGAAAACCGGTGCGCGACGCCAACACGCCACCGGGGACTCGTCCAGCCTCGGAGTTGAGTCCACCCAGACACACACAGCCACAGCGGCCATGGCCACCTTTCAAAAGGGCGACTCGAACCGGTGTCGCAACGCGTACGAAAAGGTGCTGCACGCGCAGCTCGCGCGGGCTCTCCTCGACCCGCACAAGAAGAACAAGCACATCAGCGTCGGCCGCTGCCGCATGCTGGCCGTCAACCACGCGGTGCGCCGCGCCGCCGCTCTCGACCCGGCACGGCCGCCGCTAGGACCGCCCGCGACGCGCTGGCCTCGCGGCTTCGTCGGCCGCTGCCGGGCAAGAGCCACCCTGGCCGACCAGCCGCCCGACCCGCCGCCGCCTCCTCCCGGGCCGCAGGTGGCTCTTCCGTCGTACGAGGAGCTGTCCGCGGCGGGCTTCGACCTGGACGCGGTGCCGCGCGAGCGATGGGCCGTCCCCGATGACTGCCTCCGCTTCGTCAAGAAGATCGCAGAGGAGGGGCTCTGCACCGGACCGTGCCGCCGCTGCGCCTCTGTCACGTCCGCCGACCGAACGCCAAGGTGCGAGCCGCCGCCGCCGGCGGCGGCGACGGCGGCCGCCGAGGGGACCGCCTCGCGCAGCCGCACCATCCGCCAGCCCGCGCGCTACGCCAACGGTGACGGCGTCTCCGTCTCCACCCCAGCAGCGGACCGCACGGCGTCATCGC